AGGGGTGTTCTCTCTGTGTGACAGAGGGGTGTTCTCTCTGTGACAGAGGGGTGTTCTCTCTGTGTCAGAGGTGTGACAGAGGGGTGTCTCTCTGTGACAGAGGGGTGTTCTCTCTGTGTGTGTGTTCTCTCTCTGTGTCAGAGGGGTGTTTCTCTCTGTGTGACAGAGGGGTGTTCTCTCTGTGACAGAGGGGTGTTCTCTCTCTGTGACAGAGGGGTGTTCTCTCTGTGTCACAGAGGGGTGTTCTCTCTGTGTGACAGAGGGGTGTTCTCTCTGTGTTACAGAGGGGTTCACAGAGGGGTGTTCTCTCTGTGACAGAGGGGTGTTCTCTCTGTGACAGAGGGGTGTTCTCTCTGTGTGACAGGGGTGTTCTCTCTGTGACAGAGGGGTGTTCTCTCTGTGACAGAGGGGGGTTCTCTCTGTGTGACAGAGGGGTGTTCTCTCTGTGACAGAGGACAGAGGGGTGTTCTCTCTGTGACAGAGGGGTGTTCTCTCTCTGTGTGACAGAGGGGTGTTCTCTCTGTGACAGAGGGGTGTTCTCTCTGTGTGACAGAGGGCAGAGGGTGTTCTCTCTGTGTGACAGAGGGGTGTTCTCTCTGTTCTGTTCTCTCTGTGACAGAGGGGTGTTCTCTCTGTGTGTGACAGAGGGGTGTTCTCTCTGTCTCTCTGTGACAGAGGGGTGTTCTCTCTGTGACAGAGGGGTGTTCTCTCTGTGTGTCTCTCTGTGTGACAGAGGGTGTTTCTCTCTGTGTGACAGAGGGGTGTTCTCTCTGTGTGCTCTCTGTGAGAGGGGTGTTCTCTCTGTGTCAGAGGGTGTTCTCTCTGTGTGACAGAGGGGTGTTCTCTCTGCTGTGTGTTCAGAGGGGTGTTCTCTCTGTGTGACAGAGGGGTGTTCTCTCTGTGTGACAGAGGGTGTTCAGAGGGGTGTTCTCTCTGTGACAGAGGGGTGTTCTCTCTGTGACAGAGGGGTGTTCTCTCTGTGACAGAGGGGTGTGACAGAGGGGTGTTCTCTCTGTGTCAGAGGGGTGTTCTCTCTGTGTGACAGAGGGGTGTTCTCTCTGTGTGACAGAGGGGTGTTCTCTCTGTGACAGAGGGGTGTTCTCTCTGTGACAGAGGGGTGTTCTCTCTGTGACAGAGGGGTGTTCTCTCTGTGTGACAGAGGGGTGTTCTCTCTGTGACAGAGGGGTGTGTGTTCTCTCTGTGTGTCTCTCTACAGAGGGGTGTTCTCTCTGTGACAGAGGGGTGTTCTCTGTGTGACAGAGGGGTGTTCTCTCTCTGTGACAGAGGGGTGTTCTGCTGATGGTGAGAGGGGTCTGTTTTGTGTTTCTGTCGTGTTGGAGAGATGGTTCATGTGAAACTTTTCACACATTATACGCAGTGTTGGGAATGTTACTTTTAAAATGTATTCCCCTACAGATTACAGATTATATATCCCAAAATGTAGTTTGTAATGTAATCTGAATACTTTGGATTACTTGACTTTCTGTAGAAGAGCAAAGACTAGGATATCGTAACATAAGATGTTTTGTCTGCTAAAAGAAAATAAAAGCCCAGACTTTACTGAACCATATTAAAAAATATTATTGATAATATTATTGATAAAAGAGGAGGAGACACGGTCCACAGAGCATGATTTAGTCCTGTTAAATCCTGTTTTAGTCCAGTTTTAGACCTGGTTTAGACCTGGTTTACACCTGGTTTAGACCTGGTTTAGACCTGATTTAGCCCAAAATGTGAAAACAGGAAAATACTACTAAGTAATCCATTTATTCCAACAAAGTAACTGTAATCCAATTACCACTCACTGAAACAGTAACTGTAACTGAATACAGTTACTCATAATTTGTACTCTGATTACTCCGGTACTTGTAATCTGTTACTCCCCGACACTGATTATACGTGTGCAGGTGGTACACACAGACACACGTTTATATGAATGGACACATATTCTCTGTGGTGTTTCATTGATTTCATAAATGCAGCACATATCGTCTTTTACACAGAGCCACATGTAAAAAAAAAAAAAAAAAGATCTGCAGTTTTCTCCTCAGTTTAGAGTCAAGAGTTTTGTGGCTCTGGTGTTTTTTTTCTGTGGCAGACGCTCCAAACGACTCTGAGTATTCAGGTTGTCGACCGCTGGTTTAAATCTAGACTTTTAGTAAAATATTTACTCTTTGCTCTAGTGTTGTAACAAAACTGAGTAAATCGATCTGGATTTTTTTTCCTCTTATTGATCTTCACAATTGTCAGTTTTATTTTGCCACATTAAAACCCCATAAAAATGTATTTTTGTATTTAGATCAATAAACTTACCCCCAAAATAATAGTAGTTTGATTGATGTAGTCACCATAACTTTATTGACATTTTTTCATTCATTGACATATTAAACATTGGGTTAATAAACGTGAACATATTTTTACACAGTAGTCTACTGCAGAAGAGTTAGAGATCGAAAAATAACAAAATGAAACCTCAAAGACAAAACCTCTTTCACCCGTGTTTCTGTCCCAGTGAGTGCTGTGATTAAAAAAAGAAAAAGAAAGAGCCAGAAATCTGAATCATGATATAACGTGATTAACACAAACCCATCACTTCATGAGAGAGACAGGGCATCAGTGCAAATCTGTAAAACAAACTAAACAACCTGTTTCCTATTCAGTTCATGAGGTGTGTCATTGTGGCCCGTACCCCTTTTACTCATTTTACTGTATCCAGAAGCCCCCAGCGTTTGGCCTCTTTAGGTTTTTCTAACAGCAGCAGATCCAACTCCTTTGACGGTCCTCCGCTTCCGGTGCAAGTACAATTCTGGCATTGTTTTTCAGTAGTTTTCTCTCATGAATGTTGTTCTTGTTATCTCTGTAAATGAGCAAACATTCTCAGACATATAGAAACAAATGTGATCTATAGGTGACAAATGTGAAGAAAGTAAATATCAGACATACTCTTTTCTGCCCCTCGCTTTGCGCCAGACGAGTGTCTCTCTACCTCCTCCTTCTGCCCCTCTTATTCTTTCTGCCCGTCTTTCTTTTTCTGCCCTTCCTTTTTTTTGTCCTCTTCTTTCTGCCTTGTTTTTGTTTTTGTTCCACCATTTCAACTTCTTTGGGTGCTGTAGGTCTGTGTTGTAGGTCGGTGCTGTAGGTCTGTGTTGTAGGTCGGTGCTGTAGGTCTGTGCTGTGTAGGTCGGTGCTGTAGCTGGACCCTGTGGTCTCAGACTGGTCTTGGTCTTTGTAACGAACGGCCTGTTCGTTACGTAATAATTACACATGCAGGTCTTTCATTCACTGTTGCACTTTATATATTGTGTTGTAGGTCAGGTTGCTGTACAGTATAGGTCACGCAGCACTTATAAGATACGCTAATTTGCACATATTAACATTAAGAATTGCACACATTTGTATTGTTTTAAAAAATATATATATTTATTGAGAACATTGTCGGGTGTCACGTGGGCCGGTCGGACGGGCACTTCCGGGTTTGGCGGCCGCCGGTCTGCGGAGATACACCAAAAGTTACAATTGGATAGTGTGCAACATATGTGCCGTGTTTTAAATGAGTTGTGTGTTGTGTGTGTTTGTGTGTGTTTGCGTGTGTGCCATGTGGGTATTTTACAGTGTGAGAGTGGGATGTGCGTGCATGTTTGGTATTTGTTAGTGCTTTTACTTACCCGTGTCTTCTGTCCAGGTGTCTGGCGAAAAGATTCCCCGGGGAACCAGACACCTGTTTAAGAGTCCGGGCCAACTCATCACGTGCGGACATCGGGGGGAATAGGATTTTAATTGGTATTCACGTGGGTTTTATTCGGAATTAGTTTTAGGTTTGTTATTTTTGTATTTGGGTTTTATATAGTTTATTGGCTATGGGTATTTTATTGGAGGATTTTAACTTAGTTTTATACAGCTAATGTTATTTTACACCCCTTGGAGTTTTAATGGTTTTATCCAGTAGTATATAAGGCGCCTAATCAGACCATCGATGTTCTGCTGCTGGAGGTCTGCTGCTATATCCTCCTGCACTTTTTGCAGCACTTTGTTTTTGCACTGCACTTTGGGAATTTTGGTAAAGGTTTGTGGACCACGCTTGTCATCTGTGGTTTCTCACTGAGGTCTTGGTCACAGTCTGATTAGTGTGGTCTTGACTACAATAATGATAAAAGCACGTGCAGAGAGTGACCCACCTGGTGAGAAAGGAATGATCTTCTGAGTCCATCTGGTCTTTTGGAGGCAGCTCTTTCCTTTGAGTGGGTAAAGCTGATGGACATGTTTTTATTAGATCTACATAAAGATTGTTAATGACATGAATGTTGTGTCTTTTACCTCTGTAAATCAGTAAATACGCAGTTTTAGATCTGCACAAACAGAGATCAGATCACCTCATGAGTTCATGTTAGAATCACCTGGAGTTGCTCCAGTCACACTTACCTCTGTCCCGCTGGCTCCTCCGTCTGCAACAAACACAAACATTTATTCAACGTCACATCTGCACAGCAAACTTTCCCTTTGACCAAAAACATGAGATTAAACATGTTGAGGTTAACAAACGATGAAAAATAACAACCACCGGACACGATGGCAGAATATACTGGGAAATATATATTTTGTGAACAATAAAAACAGCACCTTGAGTGGTTTACTCGAAAATGATGTAAAACAGTGATTTACAAGTAAATTATTGTTTTTGTTAGGGTTATTTTATTGAGTGCCTGGAGCGAGGACATCATGTGCTTCTACTACACCTGTGGACCGACGCACACACATGATTAATGCAGATCCTCCTCCTCACGCAGAGCGCCACAGCTGATCTGGCTCCATATAAAGAGATGTTCTGCCTTTAGCTGTCTGCTATACAAGTTCAAATCACAGACTGTATATTTAAATGGACATGGCTAACACACTTGCATGGGAGCTCTTCTGGCTCCTTCTGACTTTGGTCCCATTGACTTTCATTGGAATATTGTAACTGCTGCTGTGAGCGCCGTCATTTTGTTCGTACATATTCAGATTAACTCACTCTACATGACTGTGGGGTTTTGATTTCAACATTTTGTCCTTTTAAAAAGTCCTGTTCATAATATGGGGCAGGGCTCCAGATTGGCTCCTGTAACCGTGAGCTTCGAGCTTCGAGTGGCACTGAACGCTGTGGGTGATGTCACACTCACTTAATCACACACACTTCTTTATACGGGCTATGGTCATAATGCAAACATAACTGACAAAATGCTGTGGTGACTGGACATTTTTAAGGGTGAATCCACATGTGTAAACCGCATCGTTCCGTATCTGTCTCAATGATATAAAATGAATATCAACACGATGCTCCCCAGTAAAGTGCTTATACTCTGTGTTAATAAGAGTCCCCTTCATCCCAAATATTGGCCAGGACACTCTTGGAAAAGAGATTTTTAACCTCAGTGAGGTTCTTCTGGTTAAGTAAAGGTTAAAACACGTGCATGAGCAGAGATTATGATGATTAATGCAGCGACTGTCAACAGAGCCCATGTATGTCACTGATAAATGTCAGGACATTATTTTTATTAATATAGTTGAATGGCCAGAATTTCCAAAGTCTGTTAACATGACCTGCACAGAAAAAGTCTTGTGTAACTTTAGGAACAGAACAGAAAATGTCTGTATATGAGGGAAAAAGACAACCAAAAAACAACTGTTGACATCCAGGAAACGTGTGGATCTGAGACTGTACTGCACATCAGCCACTGGAATTTTATTTTTTTGTTTTTTTGTTTGTTTTTCAAATTGAAAATCTATTAAAGGAAGCATACATGGACTGAAATTTATATCAGGCTACAGCACAACACAACACTGCATATATATATATATATATATATATATATATATATATATATATATATATATATATATATCATATTTTTGGTCTTTATGCTTTTATGAACTGTTTGGCTGATGGGTGTTAAAATGACACAGAGTCATTTTCTGTAGCAAAACATAAAAACATGGGGGCAAAGTGAAGTGGTCAGAAAAGGTCAGACACTGAAATGACACAATCAGGACATGAATCTGACTGATTCTGTGGAGAGGACAGATGACCAAATTGAGAGAATCATTTGAAACAGATTTAGTTAAAGAGAAATTGCCTGTGAAATTGGTTTATTAAAGACATATTGATTTTAACGTTATTAAGTCACTGCCATAGCTGAAAGAAGCTGAATCCCACTCAAAAACTGGACACCAGACCATGAGTCCTGCAGTAGAACATGTTACTGACCTCGTGTACATGTGCATCACTGAAGCAGTACCAGTTCTGGTCCTCCTGAGACTTCATGGAGACTGTGTAGTGTCCACCGTGTGCACTGCCCTGGTGATCCACCACTCCACACAGAGAGAAGGATAAACCCTGCACAAGCAGAGGGCACACACAAGAGTGAACTTTTACTAGGATTTTACAGATCTCCTGCATCTTTACCTCTGTCTCTATTTCCCTCGACAGCTCCACTTCACATTTGGACTTATAATGAAAACCATTTCTAGGATCAATGATGAACCTCTTGAGAAGCAGAACCAGGACAGTAGGAGGCGTCTTCATTTGGCAGCACTGAGTCAGAGGAGACGTGGTCACCACAGATACTTTGTGAAATACTTTGATCTTTCTCTACTCACTCTTTTTGCATCTGTGCTCTCCTTACATACAGTACAATAGACATTGAATGATTGAGTCTCAAAGACCTTCTGAAACCCCTCAGCCTGTGGAGACAGACGACACTAATGATGAGCTTCAAACTCTGAACCTGGACATAAGAACTGTACAAACCACAGATGTGCAGTCTGAGAGAGCCAAGGGGAGAGTCCAGAAGTCTGTTGTCTCCTCAATAATACAGTGTCCTTCTTCACATTCGGTTTTGTTTGTGAGTGTCCCACGGAAGGGCTAGAAAAGAGAGGAGAGAAATCTGAAATAATGATGTTGTTAGAAAAGTAAACCTGCTCTCTGTCCACTGTGATGTGTACTGTGTACATGTACTGTGTGTGCACTTCCACAGTCAATTCTAAAACAAACAAAAAATACTTTTTCTTCATGAGTTATTGTATCTTTATGGAAAGATAAAACCTCTCACCTTAGAGACATCGGGACTCAACCGATTCAGCAGGAGCTCCAGGTATTCAGCAGCGTCATGCTGCCTGTGAACTGTGAACATGAAGCAGCACAATAAACTGGGGTTTGTGCTTTTTAGTTTTTATTATTTTTTATTTTGAATCAGGAATTGATAAACTGATTTAAAAACAACAAAAAACAACAGGCTAATCCTACTTGACCAAGACTAGCTCAAGATCTGCAGATGGTCCCACTGCCCCTGACAGGTTTAACCCAGAGACACTGAAGGACGGGTCAAGTGCAGGTTTAACCCAGAGACACTGAAGGACGGGTCAAGTGCAGGTTTAACCCAGAGACACTGAAGGACGGGTCAAGTGCAGGTTTAACCCAGAGACACTGAAGGACGGGTCAAGTGCATGGACACACTTTCAACAAGGGTCAATAAAGTGGACTTTTGTAACTTTTGAGGTTTGATTTCCTCCTGTATATTTGACACACTGACTCACCATCTCTAATCTGCAGAAGATCTGTGATTTTTGTTGTTTCACTCGTATCCTGTTTCAGTTTGTCAAACACATCTTTTAAAACTCCGTCGCTGTCGTCTGTTGAAGTGTTTCTCTTCAGCCCCTCGTGCACCTCTGGAGTCATAAACAGCACCTGCAGTACACTGTTCAGGTAACAGGTGGCGCCCTGGTTCCACAGACCATGAAGAGACGTGTCTCTTGATCCTGTTTGCCATTTCCTCTTAAACATTTTGTCTGAATTTGTCCTATCATTGGTTCAAAAGTGACTTCAGCAAGTGCCAGACATTTTCTGAAAATAGGGAAAACAATCATGAAATAAACTTTTATATATTTATATGTAACTGTAGATAGATCTCTCTCTTTCTCTCTTTCTTTCTTTCTTTCTCTCTCTCTTTCATTTTAATCTGTTGTTTTTAATAAAACCCATGAGCGTTACTGATCTTTTGTGCTGCTAAAGTGTTGAAAGGATCATTTTAAAGTTACTTACAGTGTTCTGTGTATAAATCTCCAGTCGTCCTGACTCGCCCACACCCCAGCACAGAATATTCCAACTACAGACTCGTCCTGATACAAAACTACTGCTGCTGTGAACTGACGAATAAACAGATTTGACTCAGAAATCCTCCATGTGTCTCTACACTTTTATTGTAGCTGTGGGTTTATAGTCCTGTAGTAGCATGTTGAAGTCCCTCCCCTGTGTGTGTTGTGATCTTTGTAATCAGATGAGGCTCTGTGGATTTTCAGGCACTACTCGATTGATTCAGACTCGGTGAGAGACATTTTCTTTTCTTTTATCAAATTTGCTGCGTGTTTCGTTACATTTACATGACATTTGTATTAATATAAAGAAAGACAAACTCAGTAAAGTGGTTTAGAATTAGATACTTTATTTTGGATTGAAGCAAATGGTGTTCTCATGATGATTCCTTTATTATCTTTAATATTTTAGAAAAATATCTGCTGCTCCTGTTTGTAGCACTTTGTCATTGAAACATTGCGTTTCTCCTTTGTGAGACAGTCTTGTTGTTGGTCACTACATTTATTGAAGACCTCCAGGTGTATAGAAGACAGTTTGGACCGCAGACAAATGACGTATTTTGTATTTGCCCAAAGTGTTGGATTCTTCCAGCGTCTCAGTGTTAAACACCATGCGAATGTCTCCTCCTAGAACAAACATGAGTGTTTTATAGAATCAACTCCAAGTAAAGATTTTCTCTTTAACCATGATTTGAACTCTACACTGTTATTGTTTTAGTATTGATTTTTAAATCTAATGGTTTGGATTATGTCATAACAAAGTCAAATTCATACATACTTATCTTCAGCTGTTTGAGAATCTCCTCTTTCAGTTTGGAGACTTTGACGTCCTTTAAATCGGCCTCATTTTTGCAGACATCCATTATTTCCTCTTTCCCATATGGAGTGTAGATCTGTAGTTGTGCCACCATTTTGCTCAGGAGTCTGGTGGAGAGTACACTCGATGTGAAGTCAGTGAAATCTGTTGGAGGAATAAAGAGAAACTAAATCTATCGTTGCTTTAATACTGACTGCGTACAGCACAGACATGCAGGGGGAAGGGTTTAACTTGTTCAACTGTTAAACTCAGACAAAAGGAGAACCTAATGAAGGTATTTTCTATCAGAAAGATCAGACAGTGATGTTATACTTTCAAAACACCGACTATTAAATGTATTTTGGCTTTTGTCACCATTCTATAGATTGTGTAAATATTGGCAACGTAGCAGAAGGTTTATAACAGCAAAATGATGCCAATAGATTCAAGAAATTCAATTCATGTGTGTACTCAGTTTTATAAAGTTTTGATTCAATTTAAAGGGACAGTCCAGAACACACACTTTACACACACTGCGTCTCCCATCCTCTTTCTGAACTCAGACTCTGTTCTATTACACAGAAATGTCTCACAGACATTTTCTGACTTATGAGACAGAGTGTGAGAAAAAGATCATGTTTATCACGAGCGGCGTCGCAGCGGTGAATACGAGCGCGTTTGATTAAAGCCCATGTGAAGCCAAAAGTGATTCTGAAGTGTTTAAAAGTGAATCTCTTTGTCATTCCTGCATCTATGAACATAAAATAAGAAGTGAGTAAAGATGAAACCTTCCTCTGTTAGAATATTTCAGCTGTAAGTTTCTTTGGAGCTGTTTTCTGTTTCTGCGTCTGAAGAGGACAAAAGAGAACTGGACAAACTTTAGACCAAAATAAATGAACACACACAGACCTGGAGGGACACGAATATATCAACCAAACATGTGACACCAGTATCGAATAAGATCTCCACTTGGCTGAAGGAGTTCTGCTTCACTCTTAACACCAAGAAAACCAAATCTTTGTTTTTTTTTTTAAATAAATATTTAGGGATTATTTTTTGGACTTGTAGTTGAACTTCAAAAGTCAAGTTAACTCCACTGACCACAAATGGATGAACCATTTTTACACATTTACAGAAAAATATGCAGACAATACTGACAATATGCGCAGCATGCATCCTGTTGGAGATATCTAGGGAGGACTGTAGAATGTGTACTGGACACTTCATCCAGACAATACTCAGGTCAGACAGTAGGAACAGACACCAGAACGTATTTTGGAGATTTAATGTCCAGTCTTCGATCTTTTGCTGGTATCTACAACAACTGACGTTTTACTGACATTACAAACATGAGGGGTGTTCACACCAAAGCGTCAAAAGGCGCCTTAACGCCTCTATTTGGAGCCTTTGCCTTTGAATTTAGACGACCCCGACGCGCGTCTTTGACGCTGTGGACGAACTGGAGAAAAATACTTGATGCGCGTCCGTTGCCCTGGAAACAACCCTAACTGTTGTCATCAGGCAGGAGATACAGGTTCATAAAAAACAGGACAAACTACAAAACAGTTTGTAGCCAACAGCCATTATTTCACTAAATGGTCCTACTAAAGCCTAGTTTCTTACGTTTTATATTTATGAATGTGGATATGTATGGCCCGGATAATGTCCATAGTGATACTATTATTTTTATCTTTATTTATTGCTACATTTGCACTGGACAGAACAAGGACTGCACTTAAATCATTGTATCTGTTAAAATGACAAATACAGTGATTGTATTGTATTCTATATTCTACCAACTCACACTGTTCGTCTTCCTTCTGTGGAGGCTTTAACTGGCTGAGATTGAGTGTTTAATCTCGTGGCATTTGTCCTTTAACTGTGAAGTCTTCAGTAAAAACATTAGTTTTTTTCAAAAGAGTTTAGTCCAAAGTTGATATTGTTTACAGCTTCTGCCAATGACAGAACAATGGATCTGTTTGTGTTCAAAGAAATATTACATTCTCATTATTTACTTTTTCATCAGGTACATTGAGAATCCCATCTGACCTCAGACACACGTCAGCAGAGGTATGGCCCTATTCAGAGCATTGAAAAGGCTAATGGGCTTCAGTTCAGATCATTTACAGGAGAGCACCAGCTCACACATGTCACAAGCTGCATCATGTAGCTCCAGGTGTAAAAAAGTATTGGTATAAAAACTTTGTTGAAATTATAATGCATCTGTATGTATAAAGTATAATTAGTCAGGACTTTTCACACTTCTCAGGTGATTTTAAACCAGTGTTTATTTATATTTCAGAGCACCTCTGAAGATGGAAACTGAAAAGTGCTACAATCCAAATGACCCAAACCTGAAGTTTACTGATTCTGTAGATGAACACGACTGTGAGTAGACAATATGTGTGACCAAGTAATTATTAAATACAGCACAGAGACATTAATAAATTACAAATGGGAGCATTTATTTCAAGCAAAAACTTTTTTTTTTTTACCACAACAAAATGGCACATTTTTATATATTAAATTTTAATATTATATTATATATATATATATATATATATATATATATACACACACACACACACACACACATATATATATATATAACATAAACCATGTACCTTTTTATAATTTCAACATGGCCATGTAAGGGCATGCAATTAACTCAATCAACATTCCTCTATCAGTCTCTTAGTCTATGTTCAGACTGCAGCCTGAAGTGTCCCAAATCAGATTTTTTGTCTCTATGTTCCTGATCTTTTAATGTCAGTCTGAACAACACAGATCCAATTTTTTCAAATGTGACCCAGGACACTTGGATCTGTGCTCCTGAAACTGATCCATATCTGATCTTTAACATGTGACTTCAGTGTGAACGATCAGGTCACATTCATCCACCTACACGTCATCAACAAGACACAAACGTCACTATTCTGCACTGAAGTAGGAGAAAACTGTTCATGAACTCAGTGTGACTGAAGTGAAGCACATCTCCACTCACCACAAAACACCACCACCAAAAACCTGGTCCTTCTCCTTCTCAATCTCCTCCTTAAAACAAGTCAAGTTGTTCATGTTGTGGCTCCGGTACGAGAGGAACTTTAAAATCTCCAGGTGCTCGATGCTGCGTCCATGTTTGGACAACTTCTGTAATCACAGAGCACATGCATGGGATTAGGACATCGGAATTGTTGTGGTTGTTGGATCCTAACAGCAGAAAACGGCTCAAGAAATGTGTTTGTGAACTTCATAAATGCAAAAGTGAATCAGATGTGTGTGACTCAAACCTCTGTTCAAACTGTTTCTCTTCCCAACGGAATTGAAAAATAGTGAAAGGTGAAGGTGATGGGCAGGATTGATCCACAGGAAGAACCAAAAAGGAAACATTTGTCTGACTAAGAAATCATCCTGAGTTTACAGAGAACATTTTGTATGTGGAGCAACGACAAAACAAAATCCTGTTTGTTAATGTAGAGGAGCAGAAGACAAACAGACTGAGCTGCACTTTCTTGTTCTTGTGGTTTTACACAAACATCACGTCTTGGTCTTTGCAGTGGAAGGTGTTTCTTGGTGAACAGTTGGAGCCTTTGACTTTTTAAATTCATAACCGAGTTTGAGCGAAGGATCGAGGTTTTGCTCTGATGGCATGAATGAGACACATGAGAGGAGAGCGTGGGAGTGGAGGGGTAACAAAAGCAAAAGCACAGAGAAGGCAAACAAGCAAAGAGGCCAAATCAGAATATATAAACATTATATCCATATATATGATATGTCAAAATCCATATGGAGTTTAAAAAATATCTCACTATATTTTAAATATTGAGATTTCACCCACTCCTACTGGCCACTCTGTTGGCTTTTAAGGGACAAGTTTTGATTTTGCAGAAATCTGCCATGTTTTTCACATGTTCCTCTTTTGTTTCCTCGTAAACAGCCATCTTTGTTTTGATATAGATGGACCATGTGTGTCCCTGATTAGTTAATCCACCTGTCAATCACACCCATCTGAACTCTGGGAGATTCACTGGTGACCAGACACAAAGTATTTGAGAAGTGTGTGTTCTGAATACAAGCATTGTTTATGTTCCACAGTTCTGTGTATGGACTATCGCTCTAGAAGAGCTCGGATGTCGTGTGGTCACACGGTCACTCCACAGTCTCTCACAGACTGGTGTGACAGGCAGCTGCAGGACGTGAGTCCAGACACTTTTATTTTACTCAGTATGTTGTATCATGAAATTAGGGCTTTAGATCAGATCTTCAGCTCAAGGATGGGGCTGTATTTGAATGTACTTTGTTTCTTCACTTAAAGGGAAACATAGATTTAAAGTGTGGAGTCTGCGGCGCTGTGTGGCCTTTTGATGAAGTGTGTAAGATGGCTCTACTGACCGACAAAGAGAAGAGCACTTTTGAAGACAAACGACTTGAAAACTTGGCCTTTACTAAGATGAATGACAAAAGGGTGAGTTTTCTTTTAACATCATGTACCAGGACAGGAACAGAGGAAAACAAATACAGAAGATATGAGAGGCTATTGAAATCAGGAGGCAGGGCACACGGACCAACAGAGACGAGGGGACGTTTATCTCGGCTCACACATGGACTCACTTCAGAGACACCACACGGGAGCAGTGGTCAGTCTGACAGATCTGATCTGTTCAACTGAGCACGTCTGAACCAAACCTGAGAGACACGTCACAGCAGAGACTCCTCTGACAAACATGTCAGGAAAATAAACCATTTGGGTTTTTTCAACATTTGCTTATTAGAAGAAAACACAAAGTTTCTATATAAAAAGACCAAATGAATTTTCTAAACTTTATTCTGTTCCTAACCTTGTGCTTGTCTCTTTTGCAGTGCCCCGGCTGTAAGTCTTATGCTTTGAGGAAAAACCAGAACAACCTGTGTGTGATCTGCCCTCAGTGCACGGCTGTGAAAGGGACCACATATCAGTTCTGTTGGCAGTGTCTGAAAGTGTGGAAAGGCTCTGCTCCTCGCTCCGACAGATGTGATAATGAGGGATGTGTAAACACAGGGTTAGAAACTCTGAGAACATGTCCTGAGATTGTGTTTAAATCTGTAGAAGACGTGAAGGGCTGTCCGTCTGTCCGTGCATGTCCCACCTGTGGAGTGCTGTCGCAGCACAACAGTGAAGGATGTAAGAACATCGTGTGTAACGGCTGCAAAATGCAGTTCTGCTTTGTGTGTCTGAAAATCACCAAAGAGTGTTTGAAGACAAGTAGCTACTCTAAACCCTGCTCCAGTGGTGTGGCCCCCAGACAGACCTCTATTCCAACCAAAAATTAATCTCCTTAAAGTCAGGCCGATACTAGGTCTGTCCCAGTCACACATTTTGAAGTGTGATATATTGCTGAAGTAAATATAGACAATAAACGATCATATCGAATCAAACCATAAAGCAGAATTATCCACAACATCTATTCTAAATCTTCAATATTGTTAAAAAATGAGTTGCCATAAATGACACAAAGCAACACTTCAGTAGTTGGTTTGTCTATAATGAGTCATAACTCAAGTCTCTACAGCTCAAATAGTACAGAAAAAAAGATAAATACTGACCTGGGATGCACCGATCCAGCTTTTTCAGTGGCAATACTGATTCTGATACTTTCAGCTGCCGATACCCGATATGAACCGATACCAGTGCAGAGACATACAACAGCACTTATTTCCTTTAAACAGAAAAGACAAAACTGATCCAAGTGATGGAGCTGTTATTCAACTCAAGAACAGATTTAGAAATTCAAACATTCTGAGACTTTCTGGAGCGACTACGACCAGTGAATAGTCTTATTACAATGATGTATCTGTCCAAACAGAATATCAGCTGAACTGATACTTAAACCCGGTATCCATAATATTGACACCCAAAAATAATAGTTTCATCTGTTGTGTATTGACCATTAAGTTCATGTAGTGTTTATTGTGACAGGTCTTAGTGAACAGCTTCTTTTTGTGTTGTACTCGTGTAATGTGTCTTTGGCTCTATTCACTGAATCTTTCTGAAAATAAAAGTAAAAACTCCACTAGTCTGATTGTTTTTTTCTTTATTATGGTTTGGTGACACTGACTGTTGGATTGGATTACAGATGAACCAGTTGGGGAGTGATTTAGAGGGACTTGTCTAATGTGAGTTTGAGATATTGAGTGATTGACATGTTCTGCTGTTTTTGTTGTGAATGATGAAAGGTGCCAGGTCTGGGATGTAAGTAAGTCTTTATTTATGTAGTGCTTTTTCACAGACATTTGTCACAAAGACACTTTACAGAGCTTTATTATTATTCATTCACTCCAGACCCGGTGATGGTAAGTTACTATTGTAGCCACAGCTGCCCTGGGGCAGGAAGTGCGTCATGTGGATGTGTGAGTGAGTGTAGATGAGTAGTTCCTTGGTCTTGTCAATGTTCAGCTCCAGTGAGGTTCTGGAGCACCACTTGGTGAAGTGGGTGACAGTTGGTAGAGACATGAACCATTGAGCTCGGCTCTTTGAGTTGAATGGACGGCCATGTTTGGACTTGGCTTGGTCTGGACACTCAGATAAACATGCAGCATCAATCAAATCAAGAGTTTTTACAAATGTATATGTAACAAAAGTATGCTTATTTTAAGTTTTATCTTTTAAAAAAATGACTATTAAAATATTGTTAATATAGTGGGAAAATAATTGTTTGAGTTACACCGTCACTACACCAGTTTAGTTCTGATGATGTGAGAGGTGATCTCAGCAGCTCGAGAGCAGACTCAGGTTCAGTGTTTTTGACCTTGTACTTTGCAGCTCAAAAAAACCTTTTTATAAACCATTAACTGCATCTGTAAAGATTAAACATAATCATCATTCTGAAACCAAAACCAGAAACTATGATTCAGCTCAGCTGACCTCATGTTCCAGAAACGACTCTTCTCTGTTTTTTGACCTTTATTATCCAAATGCATGTACAGTATTATCAGTTTGTACCTTTTTATATTGATATGTCCATTTGAAAGTAAAACTACAGTCTGTGTTCAGTCTGTCCTGTTTAAACACACTGAGCAGCTGAACACAAAAACTCTCAGCTGAACAAAGGTCTGGTCAGGTAGAATGAGCAGATCCAGTGCTGGGGCAGTTTGAGGAGAGTAGTAGAAGCCCTCAGGACAAAAGTATCACAGACTTAGAAAGTTATTAAAACCAAAAGACCTGACCTCTGACCTCTATGTCCTTCCACACTGACCTCAGCGGGTGCAGGTTCAGGTGAGGCACGGGTTTGCAGATAAAATCCACTGAGTATTTATCCCAGACACTGAAGCATCTGGAGCAGTTTTCAGGTCATTAGTCGTGTCAAATACACACTAATCACAGTCTGCAAATAACCCACTCAAAGTGTGAGTCGTACTGGGAAACAGTTATGGAATTACCTCTGTATGAAACATCTACTACTAATGTTTTAGTCAAATCTGAAAACTCTGTCCTCTGAAAGTCTTGTGCTGCTCTTTTTAAATGTTTAAAACTGAACATAAAAATGTGAAAAATAACATCATGGGTTATACTCCTGGCGTCTCTGAGTGGAGTGTGTTTTCTTGCTGTGTTGGCAGATTGTTCAGTTCTTGTGTTAAGGACGATGAGCTGGAGCTGGTCCTCAGACCTCAGAGCACAGGAGGAGTAAATGTGATATGTTCTGTTAAAAGTCGTGCAGGGGAGTTCTGGACTCACTGCAGACAGGAGAATGTGTTTTGAGAGACGCCCGTGTAAAGTCAGGTACAAGCAGTGTTTGGAGTAACGTGTTATAAAAGTAATGAATTACAGTAATGCGCTGCTTTTTGCTGTAACGCAGTAATGTTCGGCATTACAGGGGAAAAAATAGTCATATTTGACTCGGTACAAATGTGAGTAACGCACGTTACAAAGCTTTTTTAACCTGGATTTGAAGTGGTGGGTTTTTCTTCATACAAATTTGCTAAAATCACTGCGATATCAACAGCGATGAAACGCTGGAGATGCGCCCTCGTAGACCGTCAGTTAACCGCAGGTGTAAGGACCAACACAGAACTCTGCGCTGTTTGGACCTGCTTTAGACCTGGGTCAGTTCTGGTTTAGACCTGGTTTACAGTCGTCTGAAGTGTTGTATGTTTGTACGTTTTCTCCCTGAACAAAACCCACAACGTCGACGAAACGTTCTGCACTGACAAAGGCTCCTGCACTCGCACACAAAAGGCAGACGAAGATGGAACCATCACACAAAAAGTTGGACTTCTGGACACGCTGAAGGAAGAGAGAAGTTATGTGCTGTAGCAGAGTCTTGCACCGGGTCTTGTACCCGCAAATAGTTGCTGAAATCAGGACCGTGAGCCCGAGCAGCAGGGTCCATAAAGAGCGATCGGGCAACAGACGCTCTTACCTCCGTGAGGTGCGGAGCAGAGCCGCTCCTTTCTCCTGCGGTCACCCTCAAGCCCGTCCCCACAGTGAGTCCTGTTTTAGTCCTAGTTCAGTCCTGGTTTAGTCCTGTTTTAGTCCTGGTTTAGTCCTGGTTTAGTCCTGGTTTAGTCCTGGTTCAGTCCTGGTTTAGTCCTGGTTTAGTCCTGGTTAGTCCTGGTTTAGTCCTGGTTAGTCCTAGTCCTGGTTTAGTCAGTTCTGTTTAGTCCTGGTTAGTCCTAGTCCTCCTAGTTCAGTCCTGTTTAGTCCTGGTTCAGTCCTAGTTTAGTCCTGGTTAGTCCTGGTTCAGTCCTATAGTCCTGGTGTCATTCAGCAAGTTCAGCATCTTGGCAGTTATTTTGCTGAGAGTAAATTAAACTAATGCAATAGTAATATACTGTCTTACATTTTAAATGCAGTAATATTGTAATGTAACAAATGACTTTGAAATGACAGAAATAAGTAATAAATAAAGCATTACAGTTTTAAAGTAACTTGCCCAACAGTGGTTACAAGTTAGTGAAGACGTGATGAAATAAAAGTGTTTATTTCTTATGTTTCCGTAAGTGATACTTGTACTGATAATTATTAACTGGGAAAGTCCAGGGTCATTCTGTTTTAAGGCGGATGGAGTCCTGTAGTTGAACATTATCAACTTTAATTTATTATACAAGCCTGGACAGTCTGCTGACAATAATAAAGGACTTTTAACTTTTTACAATATGAAGAGTGGCATGAATGTTTGTTTCCCTTTGTCCCTCGGGTACAGGCCTCTCCTGATCTGAACACATGAAGGAATATCATCCATTTGGAAACCAAGAAACCTTCCCTGTTTGTGACAATTAACATTTGTTTTTGTCTGTTTTATCTCTTGTTGTCCACTCCCGCCTGACTCGTTTAGTTCATTAAAGTGCATCGTTAGGCTCCTCATTTCACTGCAGCAGAGTTAACATTTCCCTGTGGGGATAATAAAGTTTACCTTAAAGGTGCACTGTGTAACTTTTCAGGTAGAGGAACCGCCTCTTACTTGGAGATGAAGATCTTATTGTTTTACCTCCAATATCAAGAACGTCACGAAACTTTTCAGTCTCCATAGAAACAAGCACAACAAGCACCGAGGCAATTTACAGGTGAGATCTGTGAAGAGGCGACCCCCTCCCAGAAAGAATGTATCTTTTAAAAGGTGCTTAAGAAATAAAATAAAATTAAATTAAATAAAAAAAACAATGCAAATTTTATAAGTTTAATTCCATATTGTGGAATGTTTAAGACAAACAATAACATCTCCAAACAGAAAAGCTGCGCAGGGCAACTTTAACCTTCACATAATTATATTTCACATTTTATATTTATATTTAGAATTCGTTTTTTGTTTTTTTATTTGGGTTAAGTTCATAATTTTCTGGTGTCACATACATAGAGGTAATAATTGTTACATAGCAACCATCATGTTATTTATATACTTTGCAGTGACATCACACTGGGGGTGTTCTACGTCTGTGTCTATGGTGAAATGTTCAGCGGGGGGAGGGTAAATCCCTGGATTATTTTTGGTAAATATAAGATTAGATAAAAGTGGTGTTTGCAGGGATCGTCCGACAGACAGTAGATTCATTATTTGTCATGTCGGAGCTGAAATGAGATTTAGAGACTGTGACGTGTTTGTGAATAATTTGAGGGTTATTTGTTATTTGTGGGTTTTGGAGCACAAACTGGTCCAGATTCTTCCCAGAATCATTGACTTGAATGAAAATACAGCTGATAAAGTATTTAAAATATTGTAAATCAGGTGGTGTACACAGCTCATTCTGTTGCACTTGAGTCGGTTAAAGTTTAAGCTCCATAAAAGTGTAGTTGAACACATTTTCTGTTCTCTCCATCACTATTCAAATTGAAACTTGGATTAGTTTGGCAGTTACATGTGACCTGTGATCTGAATATTGAATTGAAACACTTTACACATCTCTCCCAAAACTGTTCACACAGGCGTCAAAGCAGATTCTTTCTCATATAAAAAGTCATTGTCCCTAAAACACATCGTCCCTTTGGCCTCGTGTCACTCAGGTCAAAATGACTCCATGTTTTGTTACTATGACAACGGTCGAACGAACACAATTTAATTATGGATAAAACTGAAAAGAGGATTTCACAGTAACAGCCTCTCAAGTTTGACATCACACACACACACACACACACACACACACACACACACACACACATACACACACACACACACACACACACATACACACACACACATACACACACACACATACACACACACACATACACACACATACACACACACATACACACACATACACACACACACACACACATACACACACACACACACACATACACACATACACACACACACACACACACACACACACACACACACACACACACACACACACATACACACACACACATACACACACACACACACACACACACATACACACACACACACACACACACACACACACACACACACACACATACAC